GATTCTGAAAAGGGAGAATGGAGAGAAAGGGGATTCTGAAAGGGAGAAGGGAGAGAAAGGGGGTTGTTAAATGGGAGAAGGGAGAGAATTGGAATTTTGAAAAGGGCAAAGGAAGAGAAAGGGGATTCTGAAAAGGGAGAATGGAGAGAAAGGGGATTCTGAAAGGGAGAAGGGAGAGAAAGGGAATTCTGAAAAGGAAGAAGGGAGAGAAAGGGGGTTGTTAAATGGGAGAAGGGAGAGAATTGGAATTTTGAAAAGGGAGAAGGAAGAGAAAGGAGATTCTGAAAAGGGAGAAGGGTGAGAAAGGGGATTCTGAAAAGGGAGAAGGCAGAGAAAGGGGAATTGTGAGAAAGGGAGTAAGAGAGGAAATTAGTGAGAATTGAAAGACATGAGAGAAAAGAAAACCAGAGAGCGATTCAGAAAGTAGAAAGTTGACTCATGCTAAACCTTATCCCTGTATGTAACATAGCACAGAGTTCATGTTTTCACTGCTAAATAAAGTGGAAAAGATAAGATAAAGTGAGGAACAATCAGTTAAATCCACAGCTGGGAAGGTACTAGGCCTAAAGGATGTTCATCTTAGCACAGTTAAATCCACAGCTGGGAAGGTACTAGGCCTAAAGGATGTTCATCTTAGCACTGTTCAACATGTTGATATTACAGTAAAACAAAAAATTAAAATGTTCTTCAAAAATGATATAATCCTAACATAATCTTAACATTTTTAAATGAAGCAGGGAAGGTACTAGGCCTAAAGGATGTTCATCTTAGCACAGTTCAACATGTTGATATTACAGTAAAACAAAAAATTAAAATGTTATTCAAAAATTATATAATATTAACATAATCTTAACACACAAAAATCTTGATATAATAGAAGTGTTATGTATATATATATTGTTAGTTAACTCTCTGTGAATTAGAGAGAAATAAATATATACAATACAATATAATACAATACAACAATACATTACAATATAATAATTCAAGATAACAATAAAATGCAATACAATATAATTCAATACATTACAATACAATACAATAACAAGAGTTTAAAGCAGGATAGAGCAAGATGGGTCTAATGCAAAATTGTTGAAGCAGAGAAACAGAGTATAAATGGTGAAATAACCTAGATAGTATATATAGGCCAGAAAGAAGGAAATATTGACTCCAGTACTACTACAGAGCACAGACCTAGTAAATTAGAAACATCAGTTTCAAAATCATTGGCTTCTATTTCAGTACAGGATGTTCTTAATTAACTTATGTTGGCTAGGTATCTATAAATAAAACACCCCCCTTCTTCCCTTATTTTAACCCTGTCAAAAGGTTTTTTCAGTGATCACAGAAATAAAGCAAATAATGAAATATTGAGATATTTTGACCAAAAAGGTAAAATTATAACTCCACATCCTTATAGAAAAAGTCAATGTTCAGGTTGAAAATGTTGTTTACAAAGAATATCCCCCCAGTACCCCGCCCTCCAGTATCTCCCTCTTGCTTGACTTTTAAAATAAGGGAGGAGGGGACAAGCGACATAATGTTACAAAAATGAACAGGAGAACTCTCATGTTTTTTTATATTCTCAATTTCTTCCTCCAGGTATATAATCAGTGATCTCCCCAGCATTAAAGCAAGTTGGTGCAGCACCCACCTGAGATTTTGAAAATAGGCTTGCACCCACCTGAAAATCCATTCGCACCCACTTGAAAATGAGAAAAACCATGAAAAATTGGCACCTTTTTACCAATTTCAGTGTGAATTGTGAAAATGAGAATTTTGCACCCACTTGAGAAAAAATCACTGGGAAGATCATGATAATGATGAAAGCCTTAATTACATTACAGAAATAGGAGGAAATACCCAGAAATCATAGATGAACTTATTTTCACAAAGAAGATATGTTTAACTTTGAATTCTGGGTAATGTCCTCATCTTCATTAAAGTGCCCGATAAAGTATAAAATGCGCATGCGTCCAGGTGTTGATAAACTATAAATAGCGAAAATCCAGGGTTTGTCACCACAAGGTAAGCCAGGACGTGTTGAGAGAACAGCTAGTGTTGATATTGAATTTATATGTAGCCAGATAAGTTTCCTTATTGAAATTACATATGGTTATTAGCAATACTTTGTAGGTGCTAAATAATAAAAATTTAGAGTATATATGAGAGAAATTGGTCATTTCGAACCCGTTGAAAAGTTTGTGGCTCTCGGCTACACCGGGGAATTTACTTCCATGAGTACACACATAAATGTGGGGTTCCCCAAGAGGTACGCGACAAGGTGACCTGGCATCAAATGTGCGACTAAATGCTACTATCGAGAAGATAAATAACGAATACGACAATAAGTTATTGCATGTGACAATTCCGAGCCTTCATTTCACTGAAGTATTTTGAAGTGAAAATAGGATTTTTGTTTTGATACATGGATTCAGATGAACGTAACTTTATTCTGACAACTAATCAAAACTGAACAAAATTGATTGTACGTAACAGACAATTTATTGTTTTACAATGTTTTGATTGGCTAAACGAATGAAACCAACAAATTATGACATGTAAAATGACAATTTTGAAATGTAAAATTTAAAAGTGACAAACACAACCTCCCTATCCACTCTTTGGGAGCCCTAGTAAATTAGTAATATGTACATGCAGCAGTGGTAGTGTGCAGCTTATTATCACACTACGCTTTGTATTGTAAAGCCTGTTGTTTGTAATAACACTGTTCACTCAACGTATGTTTTGTGTGTGGGCAGTCAACGATAATCATTGTTTTATCCCGGTTATATGACCTCGGCAATTATAACAAAACCGTACTAAACGAAAAAAACGCAAATAAGAGAAAGCTTTCACACACATATAAAAAATGAACTAGTCTAATCCGCCAGTATAAACTCTGTGCTATACGTAGCAGGGTCAGGCGCACACTTTAAAGATAAGGTCAGCCATATGTTTAGTCTTAATTAACGTTTAGCCTTTAACCTTAGAAAGTAATTAATTCTCCATAATGGGAAAGTGTATTCCTATACATGTCTATAATTAATGTACCCTACATGGGGAGAATTTGAATGGGATCTTCATAATAGCTATGATAACAGTCAGTTCAAAATATATGTTTTTTTCATGATCTCATGAATGTTATGAAGGATTACAAAAAGTTTTTTTTATTAAGGTTTCATCCTCCTTCATCTTATAATGGTTTCATTGAATTGAATTTTTAATCATCAAAAATTCATTCTCAATTAATCAGGATTCTCAATTAAAAGGAAGATTCGTTGATTTTATTCTTAGCTTAACCTAACCTATTTTATTTTGATTTACTTTTCACCATTAAGGAGGCAACCAGTTAGCACATTTGTTCATTTGTATGTATAACTCACTCAATTAATTTAATTAATTTGATTTATGTTCATTCCAAAACGCTAGCCTGTAATGCACATTGCGCAAGGCATTGACCTATGTAACTTTTTACTGTAATATAATTGAAATAATTATATAATGAAATTAAAATAATGGTTTCATTAGAATCAGGTAACTGTTGACTCTCTCTGATTATTTTTCCCAAAATTGCCTACTCCCTGTTTCGTAAGGAATTTGCAACATTTTCAATTCTAAAATGATATTTTACAATAGTGTTGCATCTATTGTTTCCATTCACTTTGCCCATTGCCAGAATCCTTTTAGACCGAGAAACGATTTAGACTGTGTAAAAGAGCATAGACCCGGATACCCCTTAGACTTTACTTACATTAAAGTGACATCCTACATTAATTTAAAAGTGGCCTTTGTAATCAAACATCAATAACAAAACATAAAATACCCTTGACCCTCTATTATAACAGAATATATTATGATATAATATATTTATCATTTTCAAAGTAAAAAACAGCGCTGTACAGCGCTGTACAGTACTGTTTTTACAGCGCTGTACAGTACTGTTTTAAACAGCGCTGTACAGTACTGTTTTTACAGCGCTGTACAGTACTGTTTTGGAAAACAGCGCTGTACAGTACTGTTTCAAAAACAGCACTGTACAGTACAGTTTGAGATTGGCTGTGTAGAATGAAGATGCTTTATCCCAGCCCTAATCTCTTAAAAATACATCTTTTATTGAAATGTTGAGTCAACCCCTTACTATATTTATAGACCCATCATCTCTCTACAGATTTCTGTTGGATATAAAAGGCCTCCTCTTGTATATAACATCATATTTTTTACATATTTTCTCTACTGAAAGAATGAATTATACAATTTTTGAGATTTTTGAACAATTTAGTGCACTTCTCTTACACAGATTACCCAAATTTTTTTCTTTCAATTTTTGATTTTGATGTTTGAGATATTTTATTTGGGGGTAAGAGTTCTTACTTTTAAAGTATCCTTGATTCCATACTAATGCTCCATACATCAGATTCCCATTAAAGTAATTAAACGTTATTAATTTTGAGTAATTAATTGACTTATTTTTTGAGAAATCAATTTGCTCTAAGAAGTAGGATCATATCCAAGGAATACATTTAATATATGTCTATTAGGGTTAAATCAAAATCAAATGTAAGTTTGAAGATAAATGTCAACTTGAAATTCAGATTTTCAACTAAAAGTTCAGAAAACTTTTAAATTGTCCACTCTCCCAACTCAAATCGACCACTTTCTGTTTTCCATTAACAATATTTCGACAAATGAAAACAGCCTTGGCACCCTATTGGCTGATCAAACTATGTATAATGTGTGTAACTATTTTTTAGGTGTTGGGAAGATGTATTTTACACCTGGCTTCTACTCTTGCTTTATGTTAGAGAAAACAGGTTTTTGTCATCAAAATATCATATTTTTCATAATTTTCAAAATTTCAGGAAAACCTGAGATATTGTGTGCCAAGGTCTGATTAGCTCTGGGCATGCTGGGTAAATTACATTGCGACCATTTTTAACTCTCCAAAGTCTTGTTATTGATAGAAAATATCATAATTGTTTGTTTGTTCTTTTTTGCAGATAACGAAAGAATCAAAAGATACATTCTTACTAGAAAAACAACGAGAAATCCAAGAAAGAAAACGGGAAAGAGAACAACAATTACTTGGTGCCGGTGATGTCAAAAATAAAGACAATGAACAAAATAAAAATTCAAATCAACGGACGTTAAATATTAACCTGCCTAGGTTTTATTTTCCAAATGGACATCCAATAGGAAATGATGAAAATGAACAGATTTTACGAAAAGTGTCTGAGGTATTTAAAAAATCAGAAGGCGGAAAAGCAGCTAAAACCCAAATGGAAAATATTATGAAGGTAGGTTATTTTTAGATTTTTTGATATGAAATGTTTGCTTTTTAACAACACTCTTTTTATATATTGTAAATGGTTATAATTTAATGACTTAAACCTAGTAAAACCAGTACATTATGAATATCTCTAGCATTTTTGAACATTTTCTCTCTTTTTTATATAATCTCCAATTATTGACACCCTTGTTAAAAGCATCAAATGGAAATCCCTTCAAAATAAAATGTACTTTTGGCAAGTCTATGTAGTGCTATGAGTCGACAGTTTTACTTCACTTTTGTTATGACTTTTGTTTCATTTGTTCAAGAAAATGTATAGGGCAGAATAAGGATATGATGTAAAAATGGGAGTAGAATGGGTATTTACATTTCATGGGCATAGAATATTTAGGAGTTAACATTAAACATATTTAATGAGGATTGTGGCTCTATCATTGTACAGCTTGATAAATTCTTGTCAGATATTCTTATCTTTCGAACAGATGAAAGTATTCACTTTATTTTTGTTTATGGTAATCTTAGGAAAACATGAATATAACATTTTGTGGTTTTGTAAGAAATATGACTCTCCGCTCACCTGGCTCAAGATAAACTCATCGAGATAAAAATGTCAAAATGCTACCCTTCTCCAATCTGTATGTCTATTTCACTATTCAGTAGTGGTGTCAATTAACCGCTTGAGCATTAACCGGTTAACCGGGGGTTTTTACCGGTTAAAGTCGGTTAACCGGCGGGAAATTTGAACTGATAATTTCAAATGAAATCTTCATCTTCGATCTTGAAAGTTGAAAAAAATTGGAAAAATGATATATCGACGTTTATTTTTTACGTTCATCAAGCTTTACTCTATTCTATGTAAGTAAGCGCGGGAAAACAATGTGGCAGGGATTAAAGTTGCTGATTGGATGTTTGTAAGGAATTATCGGACCTATCACATGTATGAGTAGCTCACATGAAACTGACATTTGAAAAACAAACAGATTAAAATGCAAAGTAAGCGCGGGAAAGCAATGTGGCAGGGATTAAAGTTGCTGATTGGATGTTTGTAAGGAGTTATGGGACTTATGACATGTATGAGTAGCTTACGTGAAACGGACACTTTAAAACCAAACGGATTAGCATGCAAAATAAGCGCAGGAAATAACAGAATTATACACGGTCAACTAACCGCCCATAAAAACACAGACCGGTCAAGGCATTATCGGCGGTTAACCGGTTAACCAGTTAATACTTGACACCTCTACTATTCAGTGATCTCCACAGGATTTTTTCTCAAATGGGTGCAAAATTTTCATTTTCACAATTCAGACCAAAATTGGTCAAAATATGCCAATTTTTCATGATTTTTTCTCATTTTCAAGTGGGTGCAAATGGATTTTCAGGTGGGTGCAAGCCTATCATCAAAATCTCAGGTGGGTGCTGCACCCACTTGCTTTAATGCTGGGGAGAGAACTTCTATTCCATGTATGGTTTTTTCTTCTTTTTTGACAACAGCAGAGATATGAGATCAAAAAGAAATGATCAGTTGAATTGGTCTTCGTAATATATACTGTTACTCTACTTAATTTGGTGCTATTTAATTTGGCAAATTTGGTGAAATCATAAAAATCTTATATTATTAAACATATGGATGGGGGTCAGAAAATGTGATAGAGGGGTCTAATTGTCAATGGATTTGGCTGACATTTTTTGTGCTCACTAGGTATGTGAATACTATAAGCATGGCACACTGCCTAATGACACTTTTGGTAGATGGTGGCCATTTTAAAAAATGGCCACCATTTTAACATATTTTATTATAACTCGAAAAGTAGTGGAGCGACTTGTTCATATCTGATATGTGAATACTATAGGCATGGCACACTGCCTAATGACACTTTTGGTAGATGGTGGCCATTTTAAAAAATGGCTGCCATTTTTGCTATATACATGCTTTGTATGTAAAAATGCCAGCCATGGCTGTTCGATGGGATTTGCTACGCTTTGACATTGCCGTTGTGTAGTTGATATCGATTTCGCCTTACATCCGCCGTTGATCAGATGTGACTGACTCTAAATAGGAGTTTTTCTGCTTCCTTCAAATCTTTACTATAAGTTCCTGGCATCGCTAATAAAATATTGATTTCCATTTTCAGACTTGTGGTTTACCTTATTACTGGCGCCATCTGATATATTCAGCCAGCGGGGGCGATAAACTTGGTTATATAACGTTTTCTAGCTTCTCTACTATGTGGAAACGGTAAGATATTACGTAACTTCACAGTTTTTTAAAGCATTAAGATGACTGGGAGACATGAGAATTTAAGCATTTAAACATTATCTTTTTAAGTATTTTAAAGTTAATTACTATACATCAAGTTGAAAAAAGAACTGCACTCAGTTGAGCATTTGCTAATTACCATGCACACAATTGAAAATTTAACATAACAATGTTATGAACAGATGAACTTTCACATTTTTTATAGAAGACACTTTCACATTTTTTAAAGAAGACACTTTCACATTTTCACATATTTCACATTTTCTATCTACAGGGTATGCCAACAGTGTCATGACGAAGCAGCTAGATTTGTGAAACTTATAGCCAAACCTAAGACTAACTATGAAGACGCAGGTGCCTTTGTTCAGAACACATGAACTTTCACATTTTTTTATAGAAGACACTCACATTTTCACATATTTCACATTTTCTTTCTACAGGGTATGCCAACAGTGTCATGACGAAGCAGCCAGATTTGTGAAACTTGAAGCCAAATCTAAGACTCACGATAAAGACTCTGGTGCCTTTGTTCAGAACACATGAACTTTCACATTTTTTATAGAAGACACTCACATATTCACATATTTCACATTTTCTTTCTACAAGGTATGCCAACAGTGTCATGACGAAGCAGCCAGATTTGTGAAACTTGAAGCCAAACCTAAGACAAACTATAAAGACTCTGGTGCCTTTGTTCAGAACACATGAACTTTCACATTTTTTTTATAGATGACACTTTCACATTTTCACATATTTCACATTTTCTTTCTACAGGGTATGCCACAGTGTCATGACGAAGCAGCCAGATTTGTGAAACTTATAGCCAAACCTAAGACAAACTATAAAGACTCTGGTGCCTTTGTTCAGAACACATGAACTTTCACATTTTTTTATAGATGACACTTTCACATTTTCACATATTTCACATTTTCTTTCTACAGGGTATGCCAACAGTGTCATGACGAAGCAGCCAGATTTGTGAAACTTATAGCCAAACCTAAGACCAACTATATAGTAGCTGAAGACTTGGTGCCCCTAATACAAGACATTGTGGACCACCATGTAGGCTTACAGTTTTTACAAGACGCCCCAGAATTCCACTCCAGATATGTCCATACTGTAAGTACAGAGTAGAAGGGGTCTTCAAATTATTGGATGTTTTAAAGGCTTCTTTGTTGTATACATATACTTTTGCAGGCTTTTCTATCTATCCTTTCCATTTTATCATAGAAATCAGCCATAGGCGTCTCAAATAGAGGCTTCTATATAGCTTCAAATTCGTTGAATTTCATTTGAATAAGATTTTTTATAAGGCTATTTTTCTGAAATCAACTTCCCAAGATCTATATAACATTTCTGAAACAGGTTGTGCTACATCCCCAATCCCCATTCCGCAATCCCCATTCTTAATAAGTTGTATGTTATTACAGGTAATAGCTCGTATATTCTACTGTGTGAACAGATCATGGACTGGAAGAATAACTGTGCCAGAGTTGAGGAAAAGTAACTTTCTACAAGTAAGTGAAACACAGTGTTCTTGGCATTAATGTGAGCCATCCTTAAATAAAAATGGGACAGTTTTCAAAATTATGGCACATTATTGATACAACTATTCTATTATTATATATTTATAGGTGGTTTTCAAGCCAGCAACACCAATACACAGTGCATAATACATAGTACATATTACATATTCGAACATGACTGTATTCACGCCTTCTATAAACTGTAATCAAAGTCAATGCTTCAGCTGGGTTATATTCGAGTATAATAACCCAGTTAATACGTGTAATGTGTGACGTCATAACGGTGGGTCGTAGTAATGGCGGATCATGATGAATTATTCGAAACAATTTGGTGAATTTTCATGTTCGAATCGTAATATAGACCTCAGAGCAGGGTTACTAGTTTCGAATAACACGCCGCTGGTCTCGGCACAAAGCTTTCGAACCCCTCACTCCCTTCGGTCGTTCGGGGTACAGAAAACGTTTGTGCCGAGACCAGCTGGGTGTTATTCGAAACTAGAAACCCTGCTCTTTGGTCTATATTTCTTAAGTACATAATACATACTACATAATACAAAGTACATAATACATAATACATAGTACATAATACATAGTACGTAATACATAGTACATAATACATAGTACATAATACAAATTACATAATACAATTTAAGCTTGCTCTGTCAATAAAAGAAAAGGGAAAAATTTGAAATAACAAATTAATTTGAAAACTGACAACATTGGAAAAAGTGAATACAATGTACAATAAGCCAGACCTTTAGTGTTAAAAGCAAAATTTGGATTGATTAAAAACATATTCTACACATTTCATTAGATATAACATAAATAAATGAATAATGCATTTGTGTAAATATAATTGAATTCTTCTGATTTTTAAAGCTTTTAAACAAATCAAACATATTTGAAAATTATTTCCAGACACTAGCCATGTTAGAGGAAGAAGAAGATGTCAATCAAATATTAGACTATTTCTCTTATGAACACTTTTATGTGATATATTGTAAATTTTGGGAGTTGGACACGGACCACGATCTATTCATCAGCAAAGAGGATCTCGCAAGACATAATGACCATGGTAGGTGTCCATTTAAGTTTTTGTCAATTTTAATTTCTATTTAAAATTGATCAAAAATATTTCCCACTCTTTGTAAGCAGTATGTGGTTATTCAAGAGTTGAATCTATTTCATTGCAAAATTATGATTTTCATATATGATAAATGAGTATTTTGAAAAAAAACTGACGTTATCATCTTAGATTATTGATTTTTTTTATCGCACTTTGAAAAAGTGCTATATTGTCGTCGTCTTGTGCTGTTGGGCGGGCGTGTGGGCGTGCGGACGGGCGGCACATAAACCAAATCTTATCATCAAATTTCCAGGATAACTGCGTACCTGTTCAACTTGAAATTTTTACAGATGCAAGAGCAGACTAGTACCAAGATCTGATTAGGTTAAGGGCATGCTGGGTAAACTACGTGGCGGCCGCCGGCCATTTTGAATTTTTCAACAAATCTTGTCATCAAAATTCCAGGAAAACCACTTATCCGTTCAACTTGAAATTTTTACGGATGCAAAAGCAGACTATTGCCAAGATCATTAAACTAGGTCACAAATGATGTTAAATCCAAGTTTCTCAAAGTTTGAGACTACAAATCAATTGTTGTCATCACCAAGAAAACCGCTAACCTGTTCAACTTGAAATGTTTACACATGCAATAGCAGACTAGTGCCAAGATCTGATTAGGTTTAAGGCATGCTGGGTAAACTACGTGGTGGCCATTTTGAATTTTTCAACAAATCTTGTCATCAAAATTCCAGGAAAACCACTTATCCGTTCAACTTGAAATTTTTACAGATGCAAAAGCAGACTATTGCCAAGATCTGATTAGGTTTTGGGTATGCTGGCTGAATTACATGGTGGCCATTTTGAATTTTTCAATTTGGCGGCCATTTTGAATTTTTCAACTTGCTCCAAATTGACCAAATTTTTTTTTTAAAAACATCTACAAGTTCTCAGAAGTTCAAATCTGACCTTAGATTTTATATTTGACCTTTCGTTGACCTTCAGTGACCTTGAAAAGGTCAAAAATTTGATTTTCTAAATTGATATTTTGGATTTAAATTTAGGTCAGCTTAATTACAAAAGACCTACTGAGGTCTGAAAAAGTGAAATTTTCAAGATCGAAGGTCATCAAATTAGGTCACAAACAATGTTATCTAAATTTTCCCAAAGTTCAAGACTACGAATAAATTCTTGTCATCAAAATTGCAGGAAAACCGCTAACCTTGTCAACTTGAAATGTTTACAGATGCAAGAGCAGACTAATCGCAAGGTCTGATTAGGTTTTGGCCATGCTGGGTAAATTGCATGGTGGCCAGTTTGCCTTTCAAAGTGCGATATTTATCACGGTGTGTCTTGTTTTTTTTGTATTTATTTTAAATATGTGTTTACCTGTCTGTCACATATGTGTCAAGCTGAGACATTTTAATTAATATGATTTTTGTTTTTGTAATTTCCAGCGATATCATCACGTATGATTGACAGGATATTCTCAGGGGCGGTGACAAGGGGGCGAGCCCAGAAGGAGGGCAAGATGAGTTATACAGAGTTTGTCTGGTTCCTCATTTCTGAAGAGGATAAGAAACACCCAACAAGGTAATTGTTGATAATAATGCCTTATATGGTACTATTCAGTAAAGTTAATGAAACCCCTAGGGAGGTAATTGTAAATGATGCCTAATATGGTAATATTACATAAAGATGAAAATTACCAAAACGAAGTATTATTTAAATAAAGATGTAGTACCATATATAGTAATATAATGTAAAGATAATGAAACACCTAATTGTCAGTTAATTGTTAAATAATGATGCCTTATATGGTATGCATCGAACAATATAAAAGGGGTGCAACGACTGTTTTTATTTCACTTGAATTATATTTTTATATTTATTTCTAATCTAGTATAGAGTATTGGTTCCGATGTATGGATATAGATGGCGATGGTGTTATATCCTATTATGAAATGGAATATTTCTATGCTGAACAATTACAAAAAATGGAGGCTTTAGGAATTGAAACATTACCTTTCGAGGACTGTTTGTGTCAAGTAAGTACTTTAAGTAGAAGCATATTTGAACACCCCTATAGTGGAATATAGATTGATCCATTTAAGCAATTTGGAAGAGTTTACCTTGCATCAGACAATACAAAAGGGGTGCAAGGATTGTACTGTCTAGTAAGTACCAAACTGAGTATGGTACATATTATTGTGTATTATTTTCCAGATGTTGGATCTAGTCAAACCAAGGGACCCAAAACGTATTACGCTTAGTGACCTCAAATGTTGTAAACTTACACCTATCTTCTTCGACACATTCTTCAACCTAGATAAATTCTTGGAGCATGAACAGAGAGATCCGTTTGCCAATTCAAGGGTAGGTCATATACAGAAAAACCTGTGTTTATGAAAACCTCTAAGCTGATTTAAAAAAGCAATATTGTGATGCTTTAAATTCAGTTTTAGACAATTAAATGTTTATGTCACCACAAGTGATAACATATAATTGTTATAGTCTCCAACTTTTTTGTGTATGGTGTTGGGCAGCTGACATTTAGAGTTCAGCATGTGTAACAAATGGTAGGTTGTGACATTTTCCATGTTATCACCACAAGTGGAAACATATTGTTATAGTCTCCCAATTTTTTTGTGTATGGTATTGGGCAGCTGACATTTAGAGTTCAGCATGTGTAACAAATGGTAGGTGGTGGTACAGTACTATGATACTCTAGATGAAATATTGCAAATAAAAATCAGAACTTTCATAAAGTAATTAGACTTAAGTCAAAATAGAACTATTGAAGATGTAAACAACATTCAAATAAGTATGAAAAATGTATTTCAGGACCAAGATGATGGTGTTGAGCCGAGCGATTGGGAGAAATATGCGGCTGAGGAATATGAAATCCTTGTAGCAGAAGAAGGTGCAAACGACAATCAGGAAGATATGTAAGTTAACAAAATTGTCTTAGCCTTTCTTGAATTTTGATCTCATTCTGTGATTCTACAAGGCCCCATGTCATCATAAATATTGAGATGGTGAAATGGCTAAAGATAAGATATTTAGTGAAAAAATTATGTGAATCGGGAAGACATTTAGTCAACCATATTGGCTTTAATTGAAAATGTCAGAGCTTTTTCCTGAATTTCAATCCATGCTAGTATGATTAATCAAGGAATGTATGGAGGAATTAGGATTAGAAATATCCGGACGAAAGAAGATTGGAAAAATTGTGTGAATCACGAAAACATTGAAGTCATGATGATGATTGATATTTTCAGAAATTATGAAGATGATTTTGAGCCAGATGAAGATGAACTAATCGCATTAGAAGACCCTCCAAAGAAAAAAGGTGGCGCTGCTAGTAAAGGTGCAAATGACGATATTTATGATTTTAGTAATGGCGACAAATTAGGGTACTGATGTAATAGGCAATTAGGAGTTAGCTTGTAGATTAAGTTATTGCCAAATATGGAGATATAGTGCAGATGTATAATGGATGTAGTACTCTGAGACTGATCCATATTGAAGCTGTGTGATTTTCCAGTAACAGGCCTTCTGATTGGCTGTTTCAGAATGAGGCTAATTCAGAAAGAGGCTATGTGATTTCCCCAGTGAAGGAGCCTTAGATTGTGCTCAAGTTATGCTGAAAGCCAATGTGTTGTTGATAGTCTCCATAGACACACAAGTGAGAGGATCTCTGATTGGTTGAAACTAACATCAACATGTAGGGGTCAAATTGGAGGGAAAACAGAATCAAGGCAGTTTATGAGCATATAGAGTCGGGACTGTTCGAGGGAGTATGGAATCGTGACTGTTTGATAGATAACAGAATCATAAGACCCTGGAATCATGACTGTTTGATTTCAACAACATACAACATACTGAAGATCTATAGATAACGTTAGATAGCTTGATATAAAAAAGCTTTCCAAATATGGCTAATCATTTAGATGTTCCAAAGATGGCATTACTATGTCTGCTGGCGCCATCTATTGACCAAAATAGCAATATAAGGTTGTAGCTTCTTGATAATCACTAGAAGTTAAGTTTATCGTGTTGTCCATATTAACTATATTTCCCACCACCTAATACTTGCTTGCTTGCTTGGATATAAAAGGGGGTCTTTCTGGGCGGCACATAGGTATTTAAGAAGTATATTGGAGTGAAAAACCCCCGGAGAATTTGCTAGTTTTCAGTGTGACGGGTTCATAACTGTAATTCTCATCCTTAATAATCCTAAAAACATTCAATTCAATTCAAAAAATATGCAACTTATTCGATCAATGGCTTGAAACATAACCCTAAAATATTTTTCATATTTCTTCTGGATTCATAATTCTGTAATAATAAAAGCCTAAAATTGCAATTGTAAAATGTGGATTTATTTTCTTTTACAATTGAAACGGGAATAACTAAATGTACTTCTTCCTTGGCAACGAATGTTTTCAGACTATGATATTCTTTCATATAAGAATGAAGATGTTCAAACCTGTGGATTTAGAATATATAAAATTGTTGAGAATGAGAATTACATCTACTATTGCTTGAAGTAGAATTGATTAAAAATATGAGTTTTATATTAAATAAAATATTACTTGATGCTTTAAGAGATGAACCCCTGTGTTTCATTAAGAAGAATACAGGGTGGCTCAAAAGTTGTGAGAATTCAACACTGTGACATGAATATTTCTCACCCTGTAGCTTTGTAAAATAAAGTGAAAATCAGTTAGTGAGAATCACCCTGTATAAATGATGTATTAGAAGTTTATAATTGAAATAATATACGATTATTTATTAATTTATTATAAGTCATGAGATCTCTGTATGACATACATAACAAATGTCACATTGACCTTTGTGGTTAGCAAACTTGGACAATACTGTGAACTGTAATTATCTGTTGAATACAGAGTGTCCCATAAAGAGTATAACTTATGGGTACAGATGCTGTACATCACTTCTGAGACACCTTGTATTTAACAGTTTACATATGAAAATGTATAATCCAGAGAAGTGGTTAAATACAGGGTGTCCCAAGAATACATTGATTTATGAACTACATATAAAATACTGTATTTTCAATGAATTCTGTAACATATTGAGTAAATATGCGACCAGTGATTTAAATATGAAATCCAGGCTCAATGAATTAATGTGCCTTGTTGATTGATTTAGTTTTACAATAAATAAAAACACACATATTTTTCATGTAGTTTAGTCCTGCCTGAAGACTCCTCTCCCCTTCCAAATGGTAGAAGGCGAAAACAGAGGGGTTTGGTACAAGACTTCATCTAATTTTGATAAGAATTGTAGATGGCATGTGTTAAATATAATGGTGATGTCATGTCTTTAATATTCCAGTGATGTCATGTGTTCAATAAATCAGTGATGTCATGTGTTTAATATAATGGTAATGTTATGTGTTCAATATAATGGTGATGTCATGTGTTTGATATAACGGTGATGTCATGTGTCTGATATAAAAGTGATGTCATGTGTTTGATATAATGGTGGATGTTTGACATCTATGTACATTGTAATATCTCTTAAATTGGCAGCATAGAATAGGGTAAAAATAATAGAAGCATTTTTTAAGATATATGGCCTTGCAATCCTTAAATTTTTAGATTTAAAAAGTAAATTGAGACATTTGATCAGATAAAGGAGTTATTGAAAATTTAAAATGCAGAAATATCCAGATTCATTGTAAAAGCACTGCCAAAATAATCTTTACACGATGAAAAGTCAGAACTTTTGTAGTTTATATATCTACGTCATGGTAATAAGCTGTGTGCAAAGGTTATTGTAAAATTGTAACATTATATTTTAGAAAATTGCTCTCAACTCTATTCTTAGTTGCCACTTTAATCTCTCGTAAATAATATCTCTGTAAATTAGGCCATCAGCTTCACCCCAAAATTTAGCTTATCGGTACCAAGTTAGGGGAATAATGCTCATAGTGATTTTTGGCAAGGTAAATACCTCCAGAGTAAGAAAATATGTGATAGCATTGCAGGAGTGGTAGCTTATGGGTGTTATCGCCCATTTTTCAAAATGGCTGCTATTGCGCTTTTTACCAAATAAAAGAAATCATATCTTAGTATAATGAGAGGCAAAAACAGTGATTTTGAAGTCTATTTCTGGGTTTTAGGGGTCAAGGATGTCATTTATGTCAAAATCTAAGTCATCGAAAAATTGCTTTATATGGAAATCCAAGATGGCAACGAAAATGGGTCTCAAAACAAATATGTTACTATTGATATAAGCTAAAAAAGCTCAAAGAACGGTTAAAAAGTGATTTTGGATACCATGAATAGGTCTTAGAGGCTGAGGATTTTATCGGTGTCTAAATTTAAGTAATAATAGAAATCCTCTATATGAAATTCCAAGATGGCCACCAAAATGAGTGCCAAAATGAATATGTAAACTATTTATATAAACTCAAAGAATAGTTAAAAAGTGCTTTTGCAGACCATGATAGGGTTTTAGAGGTTAATACAGATTCCATCCATGGATAAATCTAGGTGATTAAAGAATACCTTTATATAGAAATTTGAAATGGCTGCCAAAATGGCCAAACATATGGCTGCTAAAATGAATTTATACACACATAGATAAGTAATGTAATGTAAGTAACAGATATCTGAAACTAGGTTTCAGGGGAAAATGGTTTCAATTTAGCCTTTACCAAAGTCATCTTAACCTTTCCTCATATTAAAATCCAAATCACCAAAATGGCTGCCAAAATGAATATTTACATGTACATACATGTATATCTATAAGCATTAACAGAGGATGTTGGCAAGTGATTGTGGAATCTTTGACTAGTTAACTAGGATCTAGGGATTGAGGATTTCAGTTACTACTGAAATTTTTTCTTTTTACTTTAATTGTTAAATTGTTGTCTTGATGAAAATCAAAGATGGGTGCCAAAATCGCTGCCAAATTGGCTGTTGGTTAAGTTTTTTCCTATTTTCTAGCTTACTTCTCTCTTTATCTGTTATAACCTCTATATTTTCAGTGTTCTTTGTTGTTTTCATTTTTGTCTTTGTTTTTTGTTTTCTTTCTTCTGTTTTCTTTGCTGCCTTTCAATTTTCTTGTTTTATTAGTGTTTTCTCATTTGTGTTGTCTTTTTGGATACCCCAAAATTTAACTTGGTCCATTGTCAAGAGCTAAAATACTTATTAACCTTTTTTGGGTGTGTGTTTGTTTGAGATTATTAGCTGCCTTTGTATACCACTCAGCTGAAAAGATTCCCTGGACTGCACTAAATACATGCCCAATTGGCCATCATCTCGAGGCAGCTTAGAATCCGTTGTGCTCCAGGGAATGACTAGGTCATAACAGTGATGATGTCCATAAAGGCTTGGCAAGAAGGATGTTTTGTGTCATCATTCACTTTGAGACCTCTTTACTTGGACTCTTCTGCTTTCACAATCCAGTTCATTGCTGCGATGAAGAGGGTACATTTGAGATGGTACATCCCATCTTGGATATTCAAATAAATGTATTCCAAAATTACTTATTCTTTTGGCAGCCATTTTGGTTGCCATCCTGAATATCCAAATAAAACAATTATTTGATGACTAAGTTTTCATCCTCTTAAGCAGGTGTCCAGAATTCGTACCCCCTTCTTCCCCCCTGCTATAACCAATTTGGAAGCGCCCGATTTAACTGAACCACGTAATCTAATTATGTGCAATGACTAATACATGATTTCTGTTGCAGTGTTGCGACAGCCAATCAGACTGCGAGTTCTTAATCGGGGAAATGCCAACTGCTTATCGCAGGGGGTAAAAAGAAAGAATATATTCTGGATTTTGAAGCCCTGTGATCGGAGGATGCTAAGTTTTAGACATAATTAAAGTTCTCAACCATTGAAACCTAGACGTGGTCTCCAAAATCACTTTGAACATATAATAATAGTAACATATTCATTTTGGCAGCCATCTTCGATTTCCACATCAAGTTATTCTTTGATGACTAAGACAATAAAATCATTGATACCGTAACACTTTCATGGTCCACAAAATTAATTTTTTTTATTTGTTCTTTGAGCTTATATCAATACATGTAGTTGCATTTTCATTTTGGTGGCCATCTTGGATTTCCATATAAAGCAATTCTTTGCTGACTTTGACTTAAATGAGGCATAAATGAAATCCTTGACCCCTAAACCCTTTCATTGTCTACAAAATTGCTTTTTATCCGTTCCTTGAGCTTGCATATATATCAATACCGTAATAACATATTTGTTTTGGCACCTATTTTGCGGCCATCTTGGATTTCAATATAAGGTAATCCTTTGATGACATAGCTTTAGACATGAATAAAATCTTCAGACTCTAAAACCTCCTCTAAAACTCTTCAAAATCATGTTGAAACGTTTTTGAGCTTGTATCATTAGTACATATTTGTTTTTGAACCAAATTTGGCGGCCATCTTGGATTTTCATATGAATTAATGTTTTGATGACTTGGATTTAGGCATAACTCAAATCATTGACCCCTAAAGCCCAGAATTAGACCCTAAAATCACTGATTTTGCCTCTCAATATGCTTAGATATAACTTATTTTATTTGGTAGCAAGCGCACCGGCGGCCATTTTGAAAAATGGGTGATAACACCTATTAAGCTACCACTTCTGCAATGCTATCACATATTTTCTTACTCTAGGGGTCTAGACCTTCCAAAAAATCACCATGGCCATTATTCCCCTGATTTGGTACCGACCAACCCCCCAGGCTGATCGCCTAAATGACATCATTCACTGTTGTGGGCTTGCTTCACTTCACAAGTTCCCAACTTTGTTAGGTTATATGTTGGTTATACAAAATCTGTTTGTTTGAATATTTATACTTAATGAGTAAATTCATCGGGAAAGAGCGCATAATCGTAATACAGGGTGGGTCATTACACTAATGTGAAAAGGGTAAAAAAAATTTTGGCCCACCCTGTAATTATGAAATAGACCTTTTCAATATATCCTGCCCCCTTTTGGTGAACCAGAGAAACTCTCAAAACTTTATCCATTTCTGCATTGAAACTTTAGAATGACATCTAAACCATAAGGTGGCATGATTTACTGAATCGGTTTGTTTCGACTGCTGAATGAATA